TTTGGTTTCATTTTATTCTCCTTCTTTAGTTTTATGTCTATTATCCAAACCTGAAAGCTCTTGAAGCAGAGAGAAATGTTTTATTTTAGTTGTCTTTAAAACATCCCAAGCATCTATGGCATTCTCTAGAGATTTGGTTTTTGCTGGTATGAGGAAAATACCCCAGATTACTTCCTACCATCTTTTCAATTATACATTTCTACACTCCTAATATCAAAGTTATTGGTTTAAATATCTTGATAAAACCTTTTGAAATATAGATTTTAGAAAAAAAGTTTAAAAAATGTATTTAAAGGTATTAAAAGTTAGTGCATTGACAAGCAAGAACCCAACAGCAGTAGTATTCACTTGCTTTAGCAAGATCTATGATCTTTCTATAGTCATGCTACACTGATCCTTTCCTTGAAGGTGTTCTTGTAGTTAGGTGCTCAACAAAGAGTCAGCTTACAAGGTAAGTTAGTCTGAGTTAGTCAGCCCCCCCGAGTTAAGTGATTTAGGGGCACTAGTGTGTTTGAGCACTTGTCTGTTTCCTAATTGGACTATTCATAATTAACACTTTTTTTCCAAATCTACTAAACGGCTTGAGTGTCTACATAAAACTTTAAAAGAACAGGAAAAAGCAAAATAATGGTGAATTGTTACTCTAATTCTACTTTTGTTGGGTTTGGTTTTGTTTTGTTTTGGGCTTTTTTTTACGTTTGGTAATTTGCTTTTGGCTAGTGTTGGTTTTTAAACATACCCCTGCTGTTCTGAGTTTAGCTAGAGATGAGATTTAATTCACGTCAATTGATTGCTGGTTCTAAATGGTGATTGCAAATTCTTATGTATGTGTTTTACATATGCTGTTGTTGATCTGTCTAGTTTGAGTATTACTGCAAAGAAAGGCTTGAATGTCTACATTTAAAAAAAAAAGAACAAGAAAATGTAAAATAATTTTCAGTCAGTAAACTGGAGGTGAAGGGTGAACATACTATCTGCATTCAATTTTCTTTATGCAAACAATTGACTTTTCTGCTCATTGTGTGGTAAAGATACCCAGTTGTTAAAATAAAAAAAAAAAAAACCTAACCAACCAACCAACCCAACAAACCCGAACATCCAAAAGCTCTACATGTATTTCGAAGGGTAAAGTGATGATTTAAGCAGAGATTTGACTTGTTGAACGATTTAGATTTCAGGATAAAGTATTTTGGGTCTGTACATGTGTTAACAGACTTTGATTAATTTCTTGGGGTTACCTGGAGAAATCCAACTCCATCCCCGTGGAGCACCTAATATTGTTGCCCAGTAACAACCGAGAAAGGGGATAGGAGTGAGATGATGTACTGTTTCATTCAGGAGTGTCACACTGCATCCTACAGAGCAGAACTTGAAGCCTCGGGATATCGCTGGCTGGGGAGAAGTGGGCATCTCTGCCGAACTCAAATCCGGTTAATGGCTAAGGAGCTCCTCAGGCTATAAAAGGATCTTTCCCCCATGCTTGTACATGTGAATCAAGTCCTGGTTTATTCCAGAACGGAAAAATTGACAGATTCTGCTTCTAAATATTCTCTCTTTTACTTTCATAGGAAGTACATTGTGAAATGGAGGCTATTTTTGGCTTTTTTTTTTTTTTTTTTTTTAACTACAGCAGTGTCACTGTGTTAGTCAGCAGTTCTCTGTTACTGTTTCCTCTTATTTGAATTTTTCCCTCTGAGATAAAAAAAGCAAAATAACGGTAAACAGAATCACAACTTATGATGGGAATGAATCTGGACATATAAACTGTGTTGTTACATCAGAGACATTTCATGCTGGTTTTATGTTTTACAAATGGGTAGGTCACAAAAAAATTCTGATGTGTACTATACATTTACCCAGAGGGCAAGAGTTAAACTCTGTAGTCATTAAAATTCAAGGACAGCTCATAACAGACTTTCCTGTTACTCTTGAGAAAATTGTTGCGCTGTCAGAAGGACAGTTTGAATGGGTGCAAATTTTGTCATCACAAGGGTCTGCTATTTTATGACACACGCGTGCTGTCCTTACAGCACCAGTGGAATATCACCTTTAATGTGTCCATCTCAAAATAATAGACACCATGTTTTGTTTCTCTAGAATTAATTGTATGGAGTGCATTTATTTTGTGCAATGTGGTACAGGGATGATCTTTCTTGCACATGAGGCCTGAAGCAATGAAGTCATCATTTGTGGCTGGTTCTGCAGAAAAAAAAAATGTGTAAAATGGTTTGAATTTTGTGTATGTATTAAAATATCGTGAAAATGCATTTTTTCTATTTTATTTTCCTATTTGTTAAGAATTTGATATTGGAAATTGTGAGTGAATTTTATTAGGGTAAGGAAGATATAGTGTGCTATTTATATAATCTCCATGAGATTTATGCTAATTGTGCAATAACCAGGTCAGCAGTCTATGTCTGTCTTTTTCCTCACATGTGCGTGTTGTTTTCCAAGGTCCTGAATGATTGTATAGGTACCCTTTGAGGGGGCTATCGTGGTAGAAAATAGAGGAGAAGAAAAGTTAGGTTTTGCTGGAATAAGTCAATTGCAAAATAAACCAATTTCTGTTCTTGGCATTTCAATATAGCTCCATTAAGCAGTGTGAAGCAACGAAATATCACTTAGTATTGTCCGATACTGTAATATAGGCCAATGTACTGTCACATGTACAAGCTATCCAGTGCTCCTGTGTTAAGCATCCTTACAGATATGTCTTTCCTTTTGCTCTTGCCTGCAGCTGTTTAATGCTGCTTTTTTTTTTTTGTTTCTTCGCTTGCCAAAGAGTTTCTTTGGTTTATGTTGCATCAATCCATTCTGTAGATGTTATAGTTTATTAAAAGATTACATATTGGATTCCAGGAGCAGATTCAATAGTATATTTAGCCATACATAGGCAGACCTTAATGTTTACACAAATCCATACTAAACTTTCAGAGGGGTGCTTGAATTTCAGACTTAGTGACCAGAACGTGACTCTCTTTTCCTTTTTCCTTTAGATTCTGCCTTGGTTTGCATGTGCAAAGTAAGGTGATAATGTGACTTCTTTCTCCTGTAAACTGTCTTTCTTGCTATGAATTTTGCATTGTCTTAGTACAGATGTGGTTTATCTGTCTTTGTTCTGTAATTTCTAAGAATAGTCACATGCTGTACCCTGGAGGAGATTTTTGGCATCTGACAGTTAACAGAGTTCAACTGTACCTTTCAACTTCTAGGCTAGTATTTTAAATCCTGAATATTTGGTGAATTGTTATCTGTCTTTTAAGGGTATAGTTTTTCTTTATTGGAGAAAAATAAAAATGCTAAAATAGAAATGGAAATGCAACATGGTGTTGGGCTTTGAATAGTGAATAAATGAGTAGTTGTTTTTTGTCTTGGAGAGAAAAATATTGTAAAATTTTTTCAAAGATGTTTGAAAGCTCTCCTGAATCATGGTTATCTGCATGTTTGCTGTTTTTAGGCGGTGGAATGCACTGAACAGAATTGTTGCATATTAATTTTTATGAATTTTATGTTATATAACTCTTAGCTACAGTATGAGCAAAGGAAGTTAAATGCTCTTTCATTCAATGGTAGTTTTGCTTTCATTACTTACAGTTTACCACTGGGCACATAAGTGAGTTACTGGTTTGACCAAATAGGGTTGCTGCCTTTAATAATTACTTTTACTTTTTTTTTTTTTTTTTTTTTTGCAATTAACATATAGCTTATTTTCCTCAAAAATGGGCTTTATTTGAAATCAATAGTATTAGGACCAAATTATTGAAAGCAAGAAGTAGAAATGAAAGTCTCAAAAGGGTAGGAAGGATTGATTCAGCAGCACAACTGGAGGCATCTAGTTTCATTTCAGATACATTTGGGTGCCCCCTCGGGCTCTCCCTCCAGAATGTTGCAGATCTCCAGTAAGGACCCCAAGAAAAGGCACAAGCTTTTTATTCAGCACCAAAGTTAGCTAATAACATTTTAGCTACTGATTACTTTATGTATATCTGTGAGGATTTAAAGGATAAAGCTGAGTTTTTAAATGTGCGCTTCCTTCCTGCAATGTGTGTTATAGTTACCTGTAGATTATAACTGCAGTTTTTCAACTAGGTACTTAGTGAAATGCAGTCTTCAGGAAGGGCTTTCAATTGTCATATGACATATTTTTGATACCTACTAAAGGCACCATCAGTTGTGTGTCCTATAAAAATTAAGTAGAAAAAGGAGTCTGAAAGACTAGAGGAGATCTAACATTGTAGAAACTACAAACAGAAATACAGGAGGTAGAGGAAATCTTAGAATAAAATGCATGAGTTAATAAATGCTTGTAACTTTGGAAACAAAGCTAATTTTGCTCTTTTTTGCAGCAAATGCTATTTCAGGATTGCTTCAGAGCATCTCAGATCTTAAGGAAAATATTCATAAAGCAAGATAATGCAATCTAATTCAAGAGGAAAGTTGTTTCTCAGTGCATTGTTTATGTTTAAAAATTGTCAGGAAAGAGTTTACCAAACTTAATGTTATAGGTGTATAATATCACTTATGCAGAGGTGCATGTTTAAATCTGGACTGTGTGAAAGGTCAGAGCTAAAAGATAATCTACAGAGAATTTGGATTCAGAAACTGCCATGTAGAAGGTAAAGTTAAATAATTCAGCCTCCTTCTGCACTGGAAGGCAAAGCATAATATTGGAGGATTACAGTTCATTTACAATGATATTGCCAAGTAAACCCTAGAGTGAAAGAGATGGAATTTCATTTCATAGTGTTTCAAGTTATATTTCTTTTGTATTAAGGTCATGAGCTAGCAAACTAACCATCCCTATTATTAATTATTATTATTAGTGATATTATTATTACTACTACTATTATTTTACATTGGCAAGAAAAAGGAAATAATGGGCAAAATGAATTGGATAATTCAGTTCTGGGAAGGACAAAACTGATAGCGGAGAGTGCTTTTTGTCTTTACCTTTACTGGGACAAGGTTTTCTCACCATTTTCACTCTGGCTGTTGTGCAGGTGGTTGACCAGATTGACACATTGACGTCTGACCTGCAGCTGGAGGATGAGATGACAGACAGTTCCAAAACGGACACACTCAACAGCAGCTCCAGCAGCACAACAGCTTCCAGCTTGGAGAAAGTCAAGGTGCGGGGCAGCACACCACTCATAAAGCCGCCTGCGCACCCCTCCGCTATCCTCACTGTCCTGCGGAAGCCAAATCCGCCCCCACCTCCACCGCGACTGACGCCTGTCAAGTGCGATGATCCTCCGAGGCTGCCTCCTTCAGCCAACCCAGTCAAGACTAATGGTACCCTGTTGCGAAACGGGGGCTTGCCAGTCGGATCCAACCACATCCCAAATGGAGATATATGCTGTATGCCGAACAGTAATTTGGAGAAAGTTGCAATGCAGCCTCTGATGCACAGACGTGAGAAAGAGCAGTTTCCTCAGCCAGGAGCAAGGGAACGGGTACGGTTTAGTGAAAAAGTGCAGTACCACGGCTATTGCCCTGACTGTGATGTTCGGTATAACATTAAAAACAGGGAGGTGCACTTACACAGTGAGCCTGCCCGTGTCCTGGGAAAGCTGCCACACCAATGCCCTCCTCTGCCACCTCCACCACCTCCACTGCCTCCATTTCCCCTGGAAAATGGAGGGTTGGGTATAAGTCCCAGTAATAGCTTTCCGCCTCCAAGACCTGCGACTGTGCCTCCACAAACTGCATCAAAACCCCAGAAGACCATCTTGAGGAAATCAACCACTACAACAGTGTGATGTATGCCACTTGAAACAACTCTTTGTTTTTTTTTCTATATATAAACATAACTAGGTTATGAGCACTTTCTACTTGAGCAATAAAGGGACCCAATGTATTACTCCCTGTGTCAAGCAAAGTGGCATAAAAATCACATGGTAAGTACAAAGAGGAATGCTTGTTGATTTTACTTGTACTCCACAAAAAATCTCATTATGGCAAAGGATGCTGAAAAAATATTTGTGCTTTAGCTCATAGGTTGTAAACATCTATTACAGTTTCATATCTGCAGCATGATTTAAAAGACAATGAAAAGAACAGTCTGAACATACTGAGTGGTGATTCGTGGTAGATTTCAGTCTATCTGACATAAGGGGATAACTGTCGCTCCTGAGTTTTGGGAACTCAGCAAGTATCTTTTCTAGCAAGTATATTTTAAAATGTCATTTCACAAAGGAAAGTGGAGTACCGGATAACAGCTTTTCACTGAATTCTAGCAAGTGCATTTTTCTCTGCCTGACAGCTTGAGTTAAGGCATTGTGCGTGGAGCAGTGCAATACGAGGTAACCACTGGGCTTTCAGGCAGCTTGATCTTTGGTGGGGAAGTAAAGAAATAATTGAAAGGTATACTGACATGGCTTTGGAAAACTGAATTATCTCGCAATTTTTTTCTCACTTCCTCAAGGTACCACAGCCAAGATGAAGTACAGAGTTTTCAGGTGAGCAGGGATAGTCCTGTTTGGTTCCCCACACTTCCACTGCTCCGTCTGCAAAATTGTAGTAGTATTTTATGTCAGAAGATTAAAACAACAAAGCGCAGTCCTGAATTTTTCACAAAGCTTTTGTCTGGTGCAAATCTCTTTTTGAAGGCAAAGAAAATTTTGCCTATGGCCTTCAGGGACATCCACTTAATTCATGTAAAGAGCTTTGAAGCTGAAAAGCTCTGTGCAATTATGAAGCATTAACAAGCAGAACAAGATATTTTACATGTTATCACATTTTGATGGTGAACCCAATTAATATTTTTATTAGTTGAAAAAAAGTCCTGAGTGTTTTTAATTATTTTATGAAAGAGCATTCTTTTATTCTCACAAAGAGAATTGTTGGGACCTAGAGTTAAAAAACATTTGATCAGTGTATAAAATCTGATAATAAATCTGTTATTTACAAAAGTTGTGCCAAATTGGTCTTAAATGGCCCAACAGCAGATGTTATATAAAAGCAGTATGCTTTTTTCAGCTGAAACATAAAACATACTCTATGGCAAAACTAGACAAAACAGATTTTTAATTTAAATTTACATTTACATGGAGTAGTAAGTATTAAAGTGAAAACCAATCTTCAAGAGGTTTTCCTGTATACATATTATAGTACATTTATAGTATTTAAATCAAAATAGTAAGAATAATCATAAGAGAAATTCTAACAGATAACTACCCTTTGAAAATCTTTGCAGTAAGCAAAGATTGTATTTTGTGCAAATACACATATAGGCTCTAAAGCTTCATGTTATATTCCTTGCATAAAAGTGGCAAAGGAAGGAAATGATCTTAAATACTTGTGGTGGGCCAACCTTGGCTGGATGGCAGGTGCCCACCAGGCCACTCTATCACTCCCCTCTTCAGCAGAGTAAGGGGGAAGAAAATAAGGTGAAAAAAAAACTCATGGGTTAAGATAAAATCTGTTTAATAAAGCAAAAAGCCAAGGCAACATGCAGAAGCAAAGGAAAAACAAAGATTCTATTCTCTACTTCCCATCAGCAGGAGATGCCCAGCCACTTCCCAGGAAGTAGGGCTTTAATATGTGTAGCAGTTGCCCCGGGAGACAGACATAACAACAAAAGCTCCCGTCCTCCTCCCTTCCCTTAGCTTTTATTGCTGGGCTGACATCATATGGTATGGAATATCCCCTTGGTGAATTTGGGTCAGCTGTCCTGGATCTGTCACCTCCCGAGATCCTGCCCACCCCTGGGGCCCTGGGCCTACTGGGGGGGAAGGGTGGGGTCACATTTTGGGGAGAGAGCCTTGATGCTGTGTGAGCACTGCTCAGCAGTAGCTAAAACACTGGTGTTACCAACACCGTTCTAGCTGCCAATGCCACACACAGCACTATGGGGGCTGCTATGGGGAAATTAACTGCATCTCAGACAGACCCAATACAATGCTTAATCATCCTTTCCCCCAATACCCCCCGCCCCCCGCACTTTTCATGATGCACTTTACATTTTGTATTGTTTGACTATACTTAGCCTCATGAGAGCTGTTGCAAAGCAAAGTCCTAGTTTATGCTTCTAAGCTCTGGAAAGCTTATGTGGCATCTGACTTCCAGCATTTCATATCCAGTTTTGGTATCCAACATCTTCCATCTACCATCTTTGTCCTCTCTTTCAGAGGTGCTTTCTTGTCTCCTTCCCCATGCCTCCTGAGTAGCCTTTCACAAAAACTGGCCTTCTTTGGGCATTTTCATGGGGGAAAAGTGCTGTGCTATTACAACAAAAAATGCAGTTTTCAAGTACAGCTCTGCTTTTGACCAGAAATGAAGTTTTCAAACACGAAGGAAATACATTGGTTTTCTGCAGTTTGCTAACCCAGGTTTTCTTTAATGCACCAGACTTTTCCAAGGTCTCTGTTAAGTCATGCTATGAATGATGAATCAATTATTCTGTTTTAATGAGAATGTCTCTGGCCTGTGTCCTGTTGTAAGGTATTTTTAACAGTCTAACAATTTCACAATATTAACATGACAGAATAAAATTCAGGTTAAAACAGGTAAACTTGCAAAGCATGGGAAAGATTTCACTTTCACCTTTGAAGCACTGTCTGGAAACTTCTAATAAACATAGCATAAGAAAGAATGCAGTACTATCTTCAGCCAGCAGTGGTTTTTACATTTGAATTAGGAATGTCATCTCTATGAAGCATTTTTGAACACCTATAACGTAGCATATTTCACACTTTAATGAGGAAAACACAACAAACTACCCAGAACTGGACAGGAATTGTCTGCCTTTGAAATGTAAATGTAGTATCTTTGAGATTATATTTAGTATTTTGCAAAAAATCTGAAATGCTAGTAACAGAGCTTTAACTCAACATTTGCTGTTGTTTCAGATTGCTGCTCAGTTTTGATACCCCAAAGGTATTTTAAAGTCTGAATTGTCCAGACTTCTCAAATGCAAATAGAAGGAGAAGGTTGTTTCTATGAATTTAATGAAGGGCACGAGCTTAGGAAAATGGAGATAAGCAACGAAAATTGCTTAGTTTGTAATAATGACACTGTTTAATAAAAGCTAGCATACGGATGCTTTGTAAGAACACAATAACAATCCTTTCTCAGGACAGAAGGAAGGAATCTTCAAAAAGATTGTGGATCTTTTCATAATCTAATACAAGTCACTGTTCTTCCTTCTCTCTTGTATTCTGGAGTTGTTACACCTTTCATCATACCTTTCATCACATCATCTGTTGTTCATAGAAACAAGAAAAGATTCCAAATCTTTATCCTCCTTTTTTATTACTAAATCAATACTTTATTTAAAATGATGTGTGAAGTAAGTGAAATAGACTACAGCTCTTGTTAACTTCCTTCAGATAATTTGGTTATTAGTTTTAAAGCAAGCAGAGTGCAGTGTGAATTATTTAATTACCAGAGGGAGTTGTGTTCCTGAACTTAGATGATTTGACATCTGGCTACCTCATGTTGGTCAAAGAACTCTCTTGTTATCTGAGACTGGAGCTGCTGGCATAAATGGACTTGACTATGTCTCCTGCTGCAGGAGAGTGGCCCGTGCTCTGGTCAACCTGTGAAAGTCTGCTGCTGTTCTCTGTGTTCATGTATGGCAAAGTCCCCATGTTACTGTGTGGTTGGAGGATTTTGTCAGGAAATTGTACCATGCACTGTATCCATCAGCGGGGAATCTTTGGAAATTTTGAAGGAGAGTTTTCTTATTGTTGAGATAATCAGTCTCCTGTCAGGCTATAAAAATAAGGTGAGAATCTCTGATGCAGATATGATAAAAGGAACTAGAATCTTTCTTTTTTTTGCAGGACTGTTTTTATTATTGCAGGGCTATGTGTCTTTTGTGGTGTGAAAATACTTTATGACAGAAGGATGAGAAAATAGTCAGGCCTGATCCAGTAAAAGAAGTGAAACATAAATTGCACCTGATAGCCAGCCAACAGCAGTTCTTCGAACAATGAGTAAGACCAGGACCATTCTGCTGCCTTGCTTGGGAAGATAAAAAACAGAGCTCCCAAAATTATTGTCTCTTCTTATCCAGAGAAAAGTCTTTTTCTTTCATCCTGAAATATTTGATTTATACACTAAGAGTCTTTAAGGAACTGAGCACAGTCAGCTTCACTGTTGGTTGTAAATTATGTTCATAATAATAAATTATATTTTTAGAAGAGAGCAAGGAAAAAATCCAGTCAGTGGCAGAATTTTTCTTAGAAGTGTTTATTTTCTTTCCAGTTCAATGTTGACTCTGCTAAGTAAATTTTTTAATGCATGTCAGTCTCCTTTCTGGAAAAATTAGCATGTGAAAAACAGAACATGATGATAATATCTTTTCGTATAAATCTCTAATGCCTACAGAATATTTTGTTTTTCACTTTCTGCAAATATTGTGATGATTGTATACTGGAGCTGCAAATTACATTATCTTCTGTCACCAAGTAATTTTCATGTGCTGTAATTTTCATGGATGACTGTTTTCCTTCAGTTTCACAATTTCAACATGATTACATGGTTCAAATTTATAATGTTAATTTTGGGTGTCAGACCCATGTTAGACAAAACATTGTGTTTAGCAGTCATTAAGATGAACTACAGCCAACATCAGTGGAAACTGGCTTTTGAAACAAAGCTAGTGTATTTTCCTCACACCCAGTGCAAAAGAGTTGTTCTCAGAGTCTTTCTGGTACTACATAAAAAGCTATTTGTATGTCTCTATGTTCCAGTTTCTTCCTTGTTTATTAAAAAAAAAAAAAAAATCCATGATAACATCTACTCTGGTAAATAT